AGCTGCAGACCCTATGGTGGGAGCTGGAGATGTGAAACAGCTAAAATATCAACCAGTGGTGCAGGGTAGCAGCGGTCTTGACATGTCAGAGACAGCAAAGGGAAAATTTTAAAACATGAATAGACCGCCAAATTTGACATGTGTATTTAGTACATGGTAAGAGGAGAGTGATCCATATTAAAGTTCGGCCCATAACTTCAACAAAGGCGTAATTTTGGTGGTTTTGTCTTTCTACACCACAAAGGCTGGTTCTAAATCAAATAATCAATAAGTGATTGAAGTTAAATTTAAGCTTTAACTCAAGGCATTTTAGCAAATCTTCGCCAAAATTTCTTTGGGAATTAGAGCCCAAATACATGTCAGTGCAAATGAGATAGGCTAACATTCAGCTGAAAAAATAAATCAGAATCAAAAATAAGAAAAACTTCAGGAGTAAAGAAATTAATAATCTGGTACTTTCTTAAAAAATAAGGAATGAAATGGCCAGCTCAGCAACACATAAAGACCTGAAAAAATGATTTCCATAGATAAGAAAAATGGCTTCATAACATCTAAGTCAAAAACACCCAGGGGAGGTAGACATATCATTGTCAAGACACCTCCATGAATGGGAATACAACAAGGTTCAATCTATTGGTGACACTCAATAACAAGAGGATCAGATTAAACTTTGCCAAAGAAAATCTGAAAGAACCTTTACAGCTCTCAAAAAATATTCTTAAAGTATGGAGAGGAGAGAAACAGCTCATGATCAGATTGGGCATGTATCGCTGCCACTGAAACTGGGTCACTATTGTCTGATTACTGTGGCTGCTGATCGAAACAGGAACAGAAGGATGAAATGTGAAGTGCACAGGGCTATACTCTCTGCTTAGACTCAGACAAATGCTAAACAAACAAAACCAAAAAACTGTGTAACCCCTTAATTAAAGAAGAAAGTCTGCACTTTAGCCACATCTTGATTGTGTGATTTAAAATCCACTGTGGTGGTGTACAGAGACTACAAGAATTGTGTCTTTCTCCAACAAATTATGGTCCTAACTATACATCTATATGGCCTGAAGCAGCTTATCTCACTCAGTTTATAGAATTACATTACAATTAATACCATGGTCAGATTACAAGTTATCCAGGGAACGAATTAAATGTTGAGATTTTATAATAAAAAGTGATAACTGCATTAAAGATTATAATTATACCAATCTGAGTTTTTCAAAACATTCTTTTAAATTAGAGTCAGCTGACAAAGAAGCACTTACAGAAATTTTTGAAGTGCATGCTGTGTAGGTTTGAGATGAGTAGGGTACGTCCACAGCAGGAACCCCAGAAATCTCCCCAGAGTCACTGTAGCATGCACTGATTATATCCATCAGCTGCTGATTGATGGAGTTCAGCGGGTACATGCAGAGAGCAGAGTCGCTTTCGTCGTCATCTGGATGAGCCACCATGAAGAGGACTTTTGTGAATGAGGTGACCGTCCCATAATTACCAGATTGAGACATGACCCGTGCCAGCTCTTTTCCTGGAAAAGCCACATATGCAGCTTGGACTTTGTTGTACCGGTTGTTTGTACCGCAGGTTAACTGGAGCTCTGTGTACGAATAGTAATGTTGGTCATTTTCACAAAGACGAGACACAAAAGTCAAGTTTTTGTTATCTGTGCCATCGAGAGTCCGAGAAAAGAGGAAATACACAAAACCATCCTCTTTGAAGGCATGTTGGAAGTCGTGTAAGTACTTGAGGACAAATGGCGCCGTCTGTACCGCTGATGCCTCAATGATGTTCTCAAACACATCCCAGTCCTGGTAGTCCTCAAGGATTCGTGTGCTGATTAGTTTTGTACTGTCCAGGCTTCCATAGCCCTTTCCAACAAGGAACACTTTGAAGGTCCGGCCATTTTTTGTGTAGTTGGACATGACGCTCACCACGTTCACATTATCCTCTATGCTAGCCACGTATGTCCGCTGTCCTTTGTTGTCATTGTAATACAACTCTTGTTCTACATTAGACAGGTTAAGGAGGGAACATATGCCTCTGTACCGACTGCCACATACTATTAGTGAACCATTGGATGGGTGGACCAGCGGAAGTTTGTTGCTGTTGGGCATGAGCACTGTGTCCTGACAGCCTGAAGCAGGAGGTGTACATGTTTTGGCATCTTTTTTTGGGCCCGTCTCAGTGCGGGCCTCCTTCTGGAGGGACGGGCTCAGCTGGAAGATATTGTTGACTGCTCCCAGGTAGATGCGACCAGTCTGTGGGTCCTGGACCACATTGTTAATCAGGCTTTCAGAGATGAATTCCACAGTGGGGATCTTTCCACTCCTCTCTTGGGCTTGAGAGACTGACAACCAGATTAGGAAGAAGAGGGTGGAGACCCAGCTTGCCATCTCTGGAAGGAACAAAAAAGAAAATGACACATCAAAGAAGGGTTGCTGTGTGGTTAATATAACTGGACATATGTAAAGAACTGTACGTCAAAACAACCAGACATCTTTACATACAGGCCATTAGTTTGATGAACACTTAGAACACTCACATAGTGTCTGTATTTGAATCATCCACCATACCCGCTTCTGAATCAAAGCATGCTGCATATGCTGTTTTTGTTCTGTTGTACATATCTACATACTATTAAATCTGGTTCTTGTCATTCTTTTACTGAAAAGAGAGAACACGACTCAGTTAGTCAAAATATTTATAATTATTTTATTTAATCATCTTCTGGAAGAGAGAGACATGCACAGCCCAAAGCCATTTTGCAGATCTCTAGCATATAGTCCTTTACACGTCACACATAGTTTAGATAAAAACAACTACTTCTGTGTTACTTAGTTCTGCTTTTTCTGTCTGGTTTCCTGTTCTTTATTAATATGCCTCTGCAGCTCTTCCTTTATTTTTAGTCTGGCTGAGCACTTGGTTTGTGAGTCAAAGCTGGCCTTCCTTTATACAGGCCTTTATTATTAAAATACATAAAACACTATAATCAGAAAATAAGCACTAAGTACATATCCAGCATATGCTGGATACATATCCATTTCTTATTTATTTAATCATTTACTCCAACGTCTCTGCACCCTGCACAAAACCATTCTTAGTGGTTCCTTTAAACAGAAACAGGGTGGTGTATGAAAAAATGTAAGGAAAAAACATCTGAATTGTACATCAAAAGGACAGAAACAGAGGGAGAGAAATATGTTACTTACTGAGTCTTTGTGCAAGCTGGTAGGTGTCTGTCCCTTGTCAGGGTGAGTTAGAGTGTGGATGATGAATGTGTGAATATCTCACCACAAAACCTCAACTCACAGTGTAAAAGCATGTCTGACATCCTCTCACAAATACTAATGAAGATGAGCTTACACTACTTTTTCTTCTTGGTCTGGATGAATAATATAATTTTTTAAACACAAGCTTCACTTATGAGAGATTTAAAACGTTGTGCACGCTCTATATTTTAATGCAAGAATGAGAATTGAAATATATAATTAAATAATATATAGTTAAATTGTTAATTTTTCATTGTCTCAATTTGTAACTTCAATTTCAAAGAAATTGATCGTTCAGTCCTTCTCTTTCATGCAACACATGTGCTGATTCCAGTGCTGATTATACCGAAATCATATATGTTACTGAAGTGGGTAACACCAGTAAGAAGGTTCCTGGTTAGCTCAGCCCTTTTTGTGTGGCGTTTGCATGTTCTCTGCATATTTCTATTTCTTTATTTATATATCACTTTTAATTACAACAGTGGTGTAGCGACTTCCACAGTCGCTAGAGGCCGGGGATGGAGCCTGCCTATTTGCCCGACACGCTGTCAACTTTACGCAATAATGCGAGAGGTGGAATTGTTTTCTTGTTTATTAAAGTGCTTTGAGAGTTTACAGAGTAATGTGATCGGCTCCTGATTCAGACTCTTAAAACATCACAGGCTCTAATGCAACAACGGGAAACTCGTTGTGCAGCGGTCAACAAAAAACTACGGCTACCCAGCCCTCCTCTCTGTCAAAATCAAAACCAGTGAATGACAGACAGACTGACAACGCCCTCTTAATGTCACCTCTAGCACCCACGTGACTCCCGTTACGCATCACCATAGCAACCAAACAAATGAAAACCCAGTGATCAACAAAATTCAATACATTTAATTATGGCTCCTACAAGTGGTGTTGACCAAAGTGCTGTACAAACATACAAATCACACAATAAAATAACACACAATAAAATAGCAATATCAATTAACATCAATGCCAACTATCTAATAAAAAATAAATGTGTTTTGACATAAATTACCAAATTCATGCACTTGTGCTGTCTGCAGTTAGGAAATATTTCAAAATTTATTTATTTATTTATATTTTTTATGTTTATGATTTTGATTTGTTTTTGATTTGAGTTTATTGTGTTCTGTAAAGCACAAATTCTTTGAAAATAGAAGAAGCTAATTTAAAATGCTCTCTTGTCACCAGATGCCTGTCCCTGTGCAAAGTCAGTGTCTTGGTTCTTTTTCTGCGACTACTGCAGTTACACAAATCTCCCCCTGTAACTCTAGAGATGGTTGAGTATGGAGCTTTTGAGAGCTAATAACAGGATGGGTAGCATCTGATAAAGCATGTGAATCCCTCGCCTCAAACCATAACTCATGACACCACAGCACTATCTAACTTCCTCCTAATTTCACCATCTATTTCACCATATGCCTTAACTTCTCTCCTCCTGTTATCACCCCAAAACCCCATCCGCTTAGAGACTATCTCTGCTCCCAAACAGACAAAAAAACAGATAAAAATCATCAAAAAATGACTTAGACATTTTAAAAAATCACAAAGAAAAAGGAACACAGTATCATCAACAGCACCAAAGAATAAAACAGTGAAATGTGGGTTATTAAACATTAGGTCTCTCTTCCAAGTCGCTGTTAGAGATTGATCAACAAATACTCTACCTTACAGAAACCTATGTTTAAATGAATCAACACCCTCGAGTCATACTAACTATAAGAATCCTCGAAGCAGAGGCCAAGGGGGCAGTGTGGCAGCAATTTTCCACACCAGCTTGTTAATCAACTGAAGACCAAAACAGACTTAATTCATTTTAAAGTCTAATGCTTAGCCTTGCCCACCCCAGCTGGAAAACTCAAAAAACAGCCTTATTTGTTATCATCTAGCATCCTCCTCGGCCTCACACAGAGTTTCTGTCTGATTTCTCAGACTTGTTACCTGATTTAGTGCTCAGCTCAGCTAAATTAATTATTGTGGGTGATTTTAACTTCCATGTAGATGTAAAAGTGACAGCCTCAACACAGCATTTAATCTGTTATTAGACACAGTTGGCTTCTCTCAAAATGTAAGAGAACCCACCCACCACTTTAATCACACTCTAGATCTTGTTTTAACATATGGAATAGAAAGTGTACACTTAAGAGTGTTAAATAGCAGTGTGGAGTAGACTTCATCACAGTAGATGTCTTTGTAACTAAGTTTAAGAATATAATTCACCCACTGTTATCATGTTCAAGGCCCTGCACCAACACAGAGCAGAGCAATGCTACTCCAACAGAGGTTGATTATCTTGTTAACAACTTTGCCTCCTCACTACATATGACTCTGGATACTGTAGCTCCTGTAAGGTCTCTAATCAGAAGTACCTGACTCCGTGGTATAATTCTCAAACATGTAGCCTAAAGCAGATGACTCGTAAGCTGGAGAGGAAATGGTGTGTCACAAATTTAGAGGATCATCATTTAGCCTGGAGAAATAGTTTGTTGCTTTATAAGAAAGCCCTCCACAAAGCCAGAACATCTTACTACTCATCACTGATTGGAAAAAATAAGAACAACCCCAGGTTTCTCTTCAGCACTGTAGCCAGGCTGACAAAAACTCAGAGCACTGTTGAGCCAACAATTCCTTCAACGCTAACTAGTAATGACTTCATGAATTTCTTTACAATTAAAATTTTAACCATTGGAGAAAAAATTACTCAAAATCATCTCACAGATGTAACATTATGTAAACTGTTACTTAAAGAAACAAACATTTTTTGCTGTTTTAATTAATTATAGGCCAATCTACAACCTTTCTTTCATCTAAAAAATCCTTGAAAGAGTAGTTGTCAGACAGCTAACAGATCATCTGCAGAGGAATGGTTTATTTGAAGAGTTTCAGTCAGGTTTCAGAGCTCATCACAGCACAGAAACAGCTTTAGTGAAGGTTAAAAAATGATCTTCTTATGGCCTCTGACAGTGGACTCATCTCTGTGCTTGTCCTGCTAGACCTCAGTGCAGCGTTCGATACTGTCGACCATAATATCTGATTAGAGTGATTAGAGCACGCTGTAGGTATTACAGGTACTGCACTGCAGTGGTTTGAATCATATCTATCCAACAGATTCCACTTTGTTCATGTAAAAGAGTTCCACAGGGTTCAGTGCTAGGACCAATTCTGTTTACCTTATACATGCTTCCCTCCATCAGAAGGCATAGCATACATTTTCAGTGCTATGCAGATGAAACCTATCTTTCTATGACGCCAGATAACACACACCAATTAGTTACACTGCAGGAATTTCTTTCAGGAATTTCAAGGACTAGAAAGTGAGAGGATATTTGTCCTTTATTAGCTTCCCTTCACTGGCTTCTTGTTAATGAATCTAATTCAAAATCCTGCTCCTCACATACAAGGTCATGAATAATCAGGCCCCATCTTTTCTTAATGACCTTGTAGTACCATATAATTCCATTAGAGCACTTCACTCTCGCTCTGCAGGCCTACTTGTTGTTCCTAGAGTGTTTAAAAGTAGAATGGGAGGCAGAGCCTTCCGCTTTCAGGCCCCTCTTCTGTAAAACCAGCTTCCAGTTTGGATTTGAGAGACAGACACTATCTCTACTTTTAAAATTAGCCTCAAAACTTTTCTTTTTGCTAAAGTATATAAGTATATATAGAGCTGGATCAGGTGACCTTGACCCTCCCTTAGTTATGCTACAATATGTGTAGGCTGCTAGGGGATACCCATGAGTATTTCTTCAGTCACCTTTCTCACTCACTATGTGTTAATAGACCTCTCTGCATTGAATAATTACTTGTTATTAATCTCTGGCTCACTTCCACAGCATGTCTTTTTCCTGTCTTCTTCCCTTCACCCCAACTGGTGGTGGCATATGGCCGCCCCTCCCTGAGCCTGGTTCTGCGGGAGGTTTCTTCCTGTTAAAAAGGATGTTTTCCTTCTTACTGTCACCAAAGTGTTTGCTCATAGGGGGTCATATGATTGTTGGGTTCTTCTCTGTATGTGTTATTGTAGGGTTTACCTTACAATATAAAGCACCTTGAAGTGACTCTTGTTGTGATTTGGTGCTGTATAAATAAAATAAAATTGAATTGAATACACAATCATTACA